AACTAGGATTTCACTTGGCATTGAATGATCTTCAGAGAGGTAGCAATTCCAGACTTGAGGGATCACAACTGAGAAGGTTCTGCCAGATAATGCGATACTCCCAATGGGGGGAATGCAGAAAATCACAGAACTTCACACGTGGGCAGAGGTTCACCGGGGGAGGTGCTTCTTCAAATCAAGACTTGAAAAGGGATCACAATGAGCTTGAACTCAGCCAGCCAATGGTTTTCAACTTAGTTTCAGTTTCAGGCACTAACATCAGCACAGCACTGTCCTCTTCAAGGGCATTTCAGTCCAGGTATTCAATTGTAGCTAAAGAGCAGTGCCAATAATTTTAGATTGCTAGCCCAAATTGTTTGGCAGGAGGCATAGTAAAACCATACAAACTCTATAAACTTTATTTCCTGCCACACTGGACTTCTTTCAACTGTGTATTGCATTGCTATAGCCTGGGGTGAGCAATTCATTGGCCAGTGGGCCCTGAGCCCTCATTTTGAGCTCCTTAGAATCTCTGCAGGATCACCCCAATAAAACAGAAACCAATAGCCAAAAATCAAAGCTGCCGTTTCCCCCATTTCCATCAGGAAGTTAAAATCTGTGCTATGATATGTGGTGCATTTGAATGTAGTAAAAATCAGCAATAGAATCTTCCCGGATTTTTTTTGGGGGGGGATATCCCTATCCATTTGCATGAAATCATCCCCACTCCCATGGCCCTCACCTCCTGAAAATAATGCTAAATAGCAGTCCCTAGCCATAAAATAATTGCTTATTCATACCATGAATGCCTTTAGTTGATGTTTATAAGATTAGCAGAATATGCCTTCCATTTTTTAAAAGACTTTATCCCTTATTTTTTTTATAAAGAACTCAAGGTGGTGAAGATACCTAATATTCCTTCCTCCTCCTATTTTCCCCACAACAACCCTGTGAGGTGAGTTGGGCTGAGAGAGAGGGACTCGCCCAAAGTCACCCAGCCAGCTTTCGTGCCTCAGGCGGGACTAGAAGACACCATTTCCTGCTTTCTAACCTGGCGCCTTAACTGCTAGACCAAACTGGCTCTTATTGTTATATTCTTTAATATATTAATATTAATAACATTCTCTTATATTCCTTGTTTTTTGTTCATTTGAACGACTTTTTCAAAGAAAAGTTTCCTGGAGAATTTGCTACTTCTCTGCCCCAAGACTTTTACCAGGAATGGCATCAGCTTTAGAAATTGCAAGACAATGATCTTTCCTTCCCAAAAAAAGGATTTCCCAGACTGAAGTGCTTATGCAAATTGTATTAGAAACTGGATGTCCAAAGTCTCATCTACCCTGAGGAGGTTTCTTTTTGCAAAGTCTATTTGTTTGTTATCTGTTCCTTATTAACAATTGCTTACGTTCTTTGCAGTGATCCTTAAGAACTTAGACAACACTCAGTCAAAAGCCTCTTATTGTCAGCCCGAAAAACAGAGCAAATAATCACATTTATACATTACAAGAGGGACTTGCAGTGCACTTAAATTACTGCTGCTCCAAGTTCCAACCAACCATGGTATCCCTCAAGCCACTCCTTTTCCTGAAGTTTCTATTTTTCTTTTCAAACTAACAGTCAATGTTCTATGACAACTGAACATGATTTCATTAGTGTGTGTCTCTTGTATGTTCACTTATTCTATGTATGTGTGCTTCTCTAAGTTGCCCCGGGGTCCTGATACATTCTTTTGTTTCAGTCCCATTTCTACTGCGATTTCCACCAGAGTTCACTGCTAGAAGTGAAATTTAGGTATAATGGCAAGTAATTCAAGGATAAAAGTACAGTACTTCAATATATCAAGGATGTGTTTGCTTTAGTACTAAAATCGATGGGAATACTATTAATTTCACAGGAAAAAAATGTTTCATACACTTTTGACATTCAGGGAACTCTTGCCATACTACCCTGCCTTCTATTTTAACTCAAGATTATAAAGGATATTCTAGGAAATACACCTAGTTTACTTCAGCTACTCACACAGCCTTTGAGCTTGTCATCTCCCCACTCTAAGAGAACCATGTGTAAGATCAACTTCAACAGACTGCAGGTTTAAAATTTTCCCCTCCCAGCTTGCAAGATTGGTATGCAGATCAGCCAGAGATCACCCAGTAGATTCAGAACTCCCTGCCCACCCCTACTTTAGACCCCATTGCAATGTGTTCCTGGGCAGCACATTACTGGGAAAGGCCAGTAGCAACTAACACGCTATTTGGGAAGCTTCTGTCTTTTCATTCCCAGATAAGCTTATCAGGTGACCTTCAAACTGTTGCCTTCCATTTCAGCTCTCATCATCTCCAGAAAACAAAACTTCTGTTGGCAGAATATTTAAGTCCAATACATCTGGAAATAAAACTATTCTATGGAACTAAAGATTGCTAGGGCTGATGAGAGTTCTAGTATGATGATCTGGAGCATACTAAGTTGCAGAAAGCTGAATTAGGAGCTGAAAATGTATTTTAGCTCCTGCTTTACTTTGAACACTTCTGCAATGCTTTTTAATGATTGCCAATCCCAAACTTCTCATTATCTTATTTAAAACTGATTATGTGCATCAAGTCAGTGTCAATTCTAAGCAGCTAAATAGACAGATATTCTCCAGGAGGATCTGTCCCCAACCTGGCTCTTCAGGTCTTCTAACACTGTGCCCATCACTGTTGTAATTGAGTGCATCCACCTTGCTGTTGGTTGTCCTCTTCCTCTTTCCCTCCACCTTTCCTAGCATTAAAGCATTCTCCAGAGAACTGGGTTTTTGCATAATGTATCCAAAGTATGATAATTTAAGCCTCATCATTTGGGCTTTGATTGAGAATTTAAACCCAATACTTGAAGTTGTTTTCTCAGTGAAAAATAATACAAACCACTCACTCATGTTTTCAACATAATTTAATAAGAAGCTTCTGGTTTAAAAGGTAACCACAGCAAAGACATAAAAGAGCTGGTGGCAGTTGCCCATGAAACTTGCTCTTACTCAAACCAGTCCCCAGCAGTTACACTTGTAGGCTTAACTGAGTTGGAAATGTTATTGCTCAATTTGATGTATGGAATATACAGTTGTTTTTTTCATGGGACCCTCTAATTTTAGCAGAAAGGAAGAAACACAAGGAGTATTGGGGGGATGGGTGTGTGAACAGGAGACTTCAACTGAGGTACCTGTAGTTTAAAACATACCTAGCCAAATAATTTTGGCCTAAGTTTGGCATAGTATGGAAAACTTTGGAAGAATAATGGTATAACAGACTAGGAAAAGAGAGAGATGGGTATGTTTTAAGATGTTTCATCAAGGAGAATTCCATCAAGATTATGCAGATGGGTGGACAAGTGCTGCAAAAATATACCTTAGCCCTCAAGCTGTCTAGCTTGGATTGCTGAAATGAACACTAGGGAGCTCGGATCACTTTCTGAAACATTCTGTTTCAGCTATTAAGAATGACATATGATAATCATGGATTAAGCCTTTCTCAATCAGGTACCATCCAAATGGGTTGGTCCCAGAATTCTCATACATCATTGAATTGAAGCCAGCAATTTTGGGAGTTACAATCAGAGGACACCAGGTTGGTGGAGGAATGATTAATTGTCCTAGCCTGGTCAGATGCAAAATGCTGCTAAAGCTTTCAATAACTTATTTTGCTTAAGTGAAAACATCCCCCTCTTGACAAAATGTCCTACTGTAAAAGCTAAATGTTGGTGGCTCAATATTCTAAGACTTGTTCATTATCACTTCTACATGTCTGTTGTTTCACCTCTCTAATCCCAACCCCCCACAATAATTTTGAAGCTGACTTGTAATTATGTTCATTTCACTAACCTTGAAACACAGAGAATGGTATTCGTGCTGAACATCTGGGGGATGGGAAAAAAAGAAGTTGGGACATGAAATAGAGCAAAAGTTCTCACCAGTGCTAGAGCACCAATAAAAAGAAAAGTTTTGCTGCAATTTTGACATACTGCAGCTGAACCAGCTAAACAGAAACTTGGTTCTTAGACACCTGAGGTCACAAGACTGGACAGGTCCAGAGCTGGTTCTGAATTATCACAAATACCTTGAGTGGAATGCCATAAATTAGTTGGCATGATACAGAGCAAGCTTATGGAAACCTCTATCCTACATTTTTAATAGAATTCCATTGGGTGCCAACATAAAAAGCACTGAAATTATGAAAGTGCTGGTGGCTGGTATGTGATGAACCCTCCCTTTTTTAAACACCATTTTTGAGATTTATATAAAAAAATTGGTCAATGGACAATGGAAGGTAATGAGTGGGCAATTTTTACATTAATAGAAGTGCCTTGCTTGTATCTTCCATTGGAAGAAAACGTCCATAGATTCAGACATACTGAATGTCACTCATCAACAGCCATATATTTTGCTTGCTTTTATTTGTTTTCTAATCCTACAGACAAGTTTTTAAAGGTCCCTCCAGCATTTAATTTTATTATTTACTGTATTCCCCTTCAAGTGGAGATCTTAATATAGAACAATTTTTTTCTGAACTGAGTTAGAACTCAGTATGTTCTAACTAACATACTGAGCTATCATTCCATTAAATTATTTTTGAGAGGCAAAAGCAAGTAGGCCATCTCCTGGAGAGTAGTTAAGGGATGGACAAAAACAGGGGTAAATATTTATTGTTAAAATTACTTGCATATTTCATTAGCTGACCTTGGTTGATCTCAAAAGGCTTATCACAGACCTGGTTAGTACTTAGATGGAACCCAGCAAAGCCCAAAACTATAGAAGACATTAGCAAATAATGTTGCCAAGAAAACTAGACGGATGTGTCCATAACGTAACTAGAAGTTGAGCTTTATTAAACACATTTGTTTGTTTATTGGTGCCTTTGAGTCAGTCTTGACTCCTGACAACTGCGTGAACTAGTCCCTGCAGTTTTCTTGGCAAGATTTCAGAAGTGGTTTGCCATTGCCTCCTTCCTAGGGCTGAGAGGGAGTGACTAGCCCAAGGTCACCCAGCTGGCTTTGTACCTAAGGCGACACTAGAACTCAGAGTCTCCTGGTTTCTAGCCTGATGCCTTAACCACTACACTAGACTGGTTCTCTTTTATAGATTATGACATTTTCTGGTTGTAATAATTTGACTGTAAATTAATCATTTGTTCTGTAGAGGCTGAGTTAATGTTAGGCTTGCAAAATCCTAACTCAATAATGAAAGAATCCCAATTAACTCTTTTGTGAGCATAGCCAAAAATAGACTGAGTGCAACTTTGATGCTCAGAATACATGCAGAGTGGATTTGAATGTTCATCAGAGAAGAGGATGTCAATGTTGGAGTCTGACCTTATGGGTCTGTATATTATCCCTTTTTTAAAGGTGGGGGAGGGGGGAGAAACAGGATCTTCTGCCATAGATTAACAAGATGATCACCAACTCCTTCCGCCACGTTTTATTATAGAAAAGCCGCCAAACAGTATAAATTTTAAAGGTGCCCAGAAACACACTCTTCAGAAAGTTTGGAGGCACCAATTATTTTGAATACTAGTGGTAGAGCATCCTTAACCTGAAAGGTTCATTGGTTGTACATATCACCAGCATTGCTATCACCATCATCACTCTAGACTAAGTAGTGAGATAGACTTGAAAGTGGATGACAAACATGAGCTTATTTTTGATTGAACATATCAGTAAGAAATATATCAACTATCTCTCCCATCCAATTGCATATGCCTGTCTGGAAAGCCTGTTTCAGAGAGCTGTTTCATATACTTGGTGAGTTCTGATGGCTTTCAAGAATTACATAGGCTCCCTGAGCTTGCAACTCATCTGGAATCATGCCTTCATGTATGCACAATCGTAGCAATATATTCTGAGCTCCTGGCTTGAAGTAATTTGGGGCAGCTTCTGTGACAGATGACTCTGCATGGTTCTAACTCACTTGTGTGTTTATGGCCAACCTGCTCTCACAGACCAATGCATTGTGACTACTGTTGCATCGACTGGAATATACAATGGAAATTCTGAAATTATGGAATGGTTGAAAAAAATGGAAACGGACAGTTTGATGTTAATTTTCTACTTCTCAAAACCTGGCCTCTGCTATATCTTGGACTAGCCAGTTAACCTCTCTGAGTATCCACAGGAGCTAATGAGGAAAAGCTTACTGAAATAAAAATAAAATGAGGTAGGTTAAAAATAGCAAAACAGATCCAATTATGATCCAGAGACCAATGGGAGAATCCATGCTTGGAGATAGTGGAAATAACTAATCTAAAAATACAAATAATTTGAACAAGGCATATAAAGACAGAGATACATTCAAACTAAAAACATACATACTTCTGCACATACGTTGGTCATTATATAGGCGGGTACCAAACAAGGGGAAGGATAGAAACATGAAATCTAAATGTTGAATTATTGACCAATGAAACCCTCCTTTAATCTGCTCTCCTTCTCCTGCAATTCTTTGTACCAAAAGTTGAATATTTTATTAAGATTTTTCATATTGAGAATAGGATACAATTAGATAAGGAATACTGATCTGCATTTGGGACTTCCATCTTGGAAATATCTGAATGATATTGCCTCTTTGTGATTTTAATGGAAGAAATAAAACACACCAGTATCTACAAGGATCATGCCCCCTATCCCCCAAAGTAAAGTACAACTGTACAGAATAGGTATGATTCAGACTCAAACATATCTGAGTTAGATGCCTTACGTAAGAAGCTGTTAGGTATATTCTTTAGCCAACCTTTGGAATCTTGCAATATTTCAGTTAGCTTCCCAGTCTGCAATTTAAAGATATCTTCATGTTACAGCTTGGAGAAAGGCAACAAGTGGGAATGATTGACAAGAATGGCACTGCTGTTCCTTTCAATGAGCACCATTATACAAAGATCTATAGCCTTGACCAGCCAAGCGCCTTCCAGACGTATTTGGCTTGTGATCATGCTGGCTGAGAATTTTGGGAGGTGGAGTCCCAACCCATCTGGAGGCTTCCAGGCTGGGGAAGAAGCATGAACTGAAAAATAGACAAAAAAGTAACTCTATCGTGATCATATTATATTGTCCAAAGCTAGGAGTCTAGCCATTTAGATTTCCCAAAGGAATGGGACAAAATCTCATTTATACTGTTATTTGAAATATCTTGACCTGTTTGCAAAAAATAAAACAAAAACAACAACAACAAAATAATCCCCACACAAATGTCCATAAAAGCAAAAAGATTTTACAAAACGTAGCCACTCTATGGTTAGGGCCTCTCACACAGAGATTAAAAATGGTACATTTATTGTGCTCTCTTGCATCAGTTTTAAGTGATAACTTTATAACAGCAGTTCTCAGCCTAGCCCCCACAGATGTGTTTGATTACAACTCCCATCATTCCCAACCAACATACCCATTTGGCTTGCTAGCCATGATCATGGGAGCTCTAGTCCACCACACCTAAAAGACACCAGGTCAGGGGAATCTGCCTTATATCATACTATATATTCGGTGCTAATAGGCAGACATCATTAAAACAGATATTAGACCTGTCTCTATTCATACAAACTGAGGGTCAAGGAAAAAAAGTAAAATAATTATTTTTAAAAACCCTAGAGCCGATTCTATCACAGCTTAATTTGAACACCTCAAAGAGATTTATTCAGCTAAACCTCTTAAGCATTGGTCCTTTTCTGCTCAAATAGTGTTGCATTCTTGTGATCTTGAATAAACCTGCATTCTGAAATCACAATGGGAAAAGTGTGTCATATTCTTGGAATGTGTCTGCATAAGCAGGACTGTGATCACAGAAGAAAGCAACATGATCCACAATGTCTTCTTCACCTGCCTTGACGGTGTAACTCTGCATGTTCCGACGTCCTTCAAAATTTAACAAATCTTGGCATCAAAATAAGCACCAAGTGCCCTTTCGTTACCAGTTCATCATGGAATTTCTGTTCAGGGTCATGAAAAATACTTGGCTACTTCCCCCTGATCTTACTGATGCAAAAAATACCTGTTTGGAAAGAAAGCATTCTGATTAAATTTAGATGGAAAAAACCATCTCTTCCTCCCTCCCACACATATACAGAGACTTAACTGAAAGTGTCTGTTTAGTTGCTCAACTTGTTCATTGGTTTCTTTAATAACTATGTATGTTATTTTCATTTTAAAAGACTCAGAATAAATTTTTAAAACCAGTCTCCATGTGCCTGGACCACAACTCCCAGAATTCCCAAACAATGTGTGACAGAGGACACCAAGCTGGGGATGAGTTTTAAAACATTAATTATTATATTATGGAAATTAGTGCTTGTCCCATTCAAATTGCTGGTCAATTCCATAGTGGTACAGTATAGCCCTCCCTGTTCCTAACCCAGCCCTGAATTAGTTGCATAATTACAGGCACACAACCCCAGAACACTATTTGCTTCCTCCTAATGAGAACCTTATTGCATAGTGATGTTATCTAAATTGGGTTTGGGGTAGAAAAAGAGGATTGTGAGGATTTTCACCATCTTTAGAAGGGCTGGTTTCTTGGGTGTCTACTTTTCAAAAAGAAACTTATTTTTTCACTTGTTAATACTTTTGAAGAGAGAATCTGATAAAATAATGGAGGCCTTTCTGATTCTTTCAATGACTGGGATTAAACAAGCATTAGGACCCTTTGGGTGTGGCAGCTATAAGTAAAATTTAAATATACACGTGCAGTGGACTAAACTCTCAATGTTTTACTTTTCATATTTGAAAGTTATTTGTACAGTCCCCTTTGCAGTGCCCTTTTTCTCTTATGGAATGAGGACATGTTTTCAGAATATTTTGGGATATGTGGAAGAAATATTCCTTTGGGGAAGCAGTAATCAAATATTTCATATATTTTTATTAAAAAAAGAAAAAGCTTTACTGCTACTTTTAAGCAAAATAAGCTTCTCAGATGTGTCTGGTTAGCAACTGTGCAACACTGAAACACAGAATGCAGAATCTTAGACTCTGAATTGACTCCCAAGACCTGGCCGGGGGGCGGGGGGGATGATGATGGATGCCCACATGTTTTTGCAGCAAACCTTGCAAATAACAAAGCAGACAGACCAGCCTTCTTCAAATGAATGTTCGAGGGATGTAAGATCTTCAATACACAGAATTCCCCAACAAGCATGATTTTTTGCTGAGAATTCTGAAGTTGAAATCTACAAATTTGGAGATTGTGGAGTTCAGAACAAACAAGTGTGAAGTTTTGGGAGAAGGATGTGGACCCTCTGGCTCCTCATGTTTCAACAGTATAGAATAGATGTTGCTGAACTAAAATTCCCATAATCAGTCAACACTGGCCTTGTTAGGTAGGACTAATGAGTTAAAACACACTTGGGGGCTGGAGGTTCTCCACCTCTGTTTTAAGAAACCAAGAACATTTACTCCATACAGTTAGCATCCTGAAAATAGACCTACCTTATCATTTCTTTCACATAGAAACTTTAACCGCTGTGCACGCTTGTGCATAAATACTCCATCCAAATGTCCTGTCTCCACTGATCGTATCTCAATAGCTTTCTCACCCCAGCCCATTATTTGATTGGAGTGAATATAGGCTTGTCATAAAAACAAACAAACAATGCATAAACGTTTGGTAATACATTCTGATTAAAAATATATGGAAAAAAGCAAGTTTTACCATATATCATTCCTAGCAGTAATACAACTTAAAGTGGAAATGTCATAGGGTGGAAGCTCAAGACACCAATCAGCATCCTGGTTCCATCACTGAAATACAACAACCAATTCTTGCTTACCCCACTCTAAATATATATGTCTATATTTCTATAAGTCTCTATATATGTATATCTAAGGAGAAGAGGAAGAACTGACATACCCACTGAAGTGGGCATTTCTCCCCACTGGAGTACCACATCTTTTGTTATGCGTCCATAGGTATTAACGTATACCCCTTCATCCTCATAGCACACAAGCATTTCCATTCCATCCGTCTTGGGTAAGATGACAATGGCATGAGGTGTAATATTGCCCTGAATCTGTGTACAGAACAGAATACCCCCCCCCCAAACCAGCATTAAGTCAAGTGTTCAGGGTAAGAAGGGCCAACTTGCTTTGGTATACGTCACTTTCCTTTGGAAAATAAGTAGACTAATACAGAGCAATCATCAGCCCAGGGAAATGTTGCCTATATTATATGTGCTTCCAGGATTACTGAATACATGCTAGCTATGTCTTCTGACAAGTTAGTTGCTTGCCAGAGCTATACTATGGCCTACCCATAAAGTAGAAGGTTTATCAAAACTTGGCTGATAAACTATGAAGAGCTCTGGGAATAATGGGAAGCTTCTTGCAGCTCAGGCTCAAATTAAGCTCTGTTTAGTATCTGAGGCACATACTTGGATATATTCAACTTTAAATCCATTGATACGAGCACGGATATTCTGGCTTAAGTGGTTCTGCTTAATTGCATTTTATATTTGATATGTTATTCTATTAGTTTGCAAAAGCATGTTCATAGCAACTTGTGGACAAAAATATCCTTTAAATAATAAAACAATATTAAATATCCAATCCAATTAAAAATTGAAACAGCACTGAACAGCAGTATTAAACGTTAGAAATCATGTAGCTATAAATGGAAATAGCACAAAAAGTCTTCTGCAGTAAGACAGTCCAAAGTTACAGCTATCATAAAGACCCTCCAGAGATGTCTATAGCCAAATCATTTCTTTTGATGACAGCATTTGAAACAAAGACTCTCCAGAGGGTACAGATCAAATGGTTAATAATTATAGCTGAATGATGTCAGCCTGTTGTGGTTTCCTGCCCACAGCATTTACAGAAGTGACCACGGAGCAGCCTCAGACTTACATGAGATGGTATGTAGATATCATAAGAGTTGCCTGAATCTACATCAATAACATGAAAACCAGTATGTGACCCAAAGATGACTTTCAACCTCTGACCTTCTTCTACTGTGAGGTCAACAAGCAACGGTTTGTGCTGAAGATCTGCAAAAGACTTTTAAAATCCCCTCAGTGAATTTTTGTGAGATGCAAAATAAATAAATAAATATCCAAATAATTAGTATTCAGTGGTAACAAAGTGACAATCTGACATTCTACTTTTAAAAATGTGCTCCTCTATTTCTGCTAGTTTACAGACTCTGTAGATTTAGACATGATTAAGCCTTTTTTATATTGGTATATTACAAGAAGGTCTAAAGTTCCACAGGAATGTTTGGCTCTTTTAAGGATTTTTTGAGAGTGAGGCCATTCCACACATTGGATGAGCAAGTGTTTGTAAACCCCATTAGGAAAACTATACTCTCCAAGGGCCACCAAGGTGATTTATCTAGTATGCTCTGATACATGTACTGGAGAGGAGAGGACAGAAGAAACTTGAATTCTGCCTCCCGCCTGGCTGTGACAATTCTACAGTTTTTGTTACACTTAAAAACTGAAGAGGAGGAGGATTTCAGGATCAAAGGGATACCTAGTGTAGGCCTAAACAGGAATCCCTTTTGGGCTTTGATTTAATCCAAACAGCAGAAGATCTTGGGGGTTATAATGTTACTTCTTTGAGATGAGCATTTCAAATCCCTCACATTCAGATCTTGGACTAATTAGGCTGTTTATGTTCATTATTTATTTGCTTTTAAATTCCTTAATGAAGAATAATAAAATTGTTACAAAATATCAGAAAGGGGACACAACCCAGATACTAATGGCTCAGTTTTACCGAACTCTTACAAATACTGTACTCATTTAAGCCTCCTTCAGATGTACACAGATTGTGACAAAGTAGTTTGGCTCACTGTCCTACCTCTTGCCCTAAAATGGAAGCAACTATCACTTAAATTTTAAATCTATTGTCTAAGTATGTGGACTGTGATCTTTGTAAAACCCAGGACATTACTACATCACTCAGTCTTACCGACATTCAGATGTTTATGCAGCGCCATGCAAACATGGCATTCAGATCAGGGCATGGGTAGCAATTTAATAGTGGCACAGCCAGACGTGATTGCTAAGACAGTGTCTGACATAAGAAGCAGCTCTAACAATTCTGTAGGAACTTTCTTGGCAAGGACATGGGTTCAAGCCATTATTTGCCATAGGTAGCTAAATAACAGACGTGAATGACAGATATTCTTATCCACAAAAAAAAAAACAAACAAAACCATTAATAAATGTATGAGTAGTGCTATTTTTTTTTTTTTTTGGTAACGACACAAAACATACCTTAAATGCCATAAACTTGTGATAAGGTTTAGGAGCCCAAGCATATATCTCTACAGCATTCTTTAAGGCAATCACCAAGAACTTGATTCTCTCATATTTCACTAAAATTGAAATAAAACTAAAATTTTTAAACATCCTATTTACATAGACTGAATTACAAAACTGAATCATTTTCTTTCTCAAAAAAGAGTACTGAAAACCACTTTTGGAGTACGTTCTTCGTAAACTTGGATGCTTTCCTCTACATATAAGGGCAACCATCTTAATTTACTTGTGTACTTGTGAGTTGTATGACTGCCATACCTTAAGCAAATTAAAGATGGCAACATGTTTCAGCCTTGACAGTAGTTAGAAGAGACCAATTAATACAAATGCAGGTGTTTGAAGAAAGGCATGTATGTATCTGGAAGAAAACTGGATTTAAGTTGAGAAAACTAATTTGACATATTGTCCTACCTTTAATATTACTGCAGTACATAATACATGATTTAAGGTCAGACCATGGTGATCAGAAAATATTGTTTCTGATAATGAAAATAATTTGCTTAAAATAGTAACTTCAGTGAATTAGATTTAGCCATACTTAGAGTAGATCTATTGAAATCAAACAGTCAAAAAAATGAATTTGTGGATCCAGTGCAATGCTTTTAACTACTTGTCAAAAACAAAGAGAACCACTTGTTGATTAATGTTCTAGGGAAACTAGGGAAGTAAGACCATGCCTGCCTATTCCATTCATGGCCCCATTTTACATATATGAATTGTACATGACACTGGAACACAGTCCTATGCATAACAAGTCCAATGTGTGCATGTCCAACCCCTGTAATAATAGCTCCTGTGAATCATGTAGGGGATCATTTATCCTATGTAGTCATAATCTACATCACCACCAATCTTGTTCCAGATCACTATTTCTGCAATTGCTGGTTTAGCGGTATCAAGGCTTGTGTGGAATATTTAGTGATTGTTGTCTGTGCTCTCAAGGGCACAGCTTGCTGCTGGGACAAGCAGGGTTCAGCCTGAGAATGTACACAGGCCCCACGTGACTTTTATATGGTAGGCATGCTGATTTTGTGAGTTCGCTTGCTCTGCAACCAAGAGAGCTTCCACTTTCCATCATTGATTTACACTTACCAACTTTATAATGGATGCAGCCTTCCAAATCACCTACAGTGATCCAGCCTTGTTTCTTTTCTACTTCTGGATCATTGTGCAATATTCTGTTTCTTAACCATGAAAGGTAGTAAACTCGTAGCTTGTTCTTCTTTCCTGTTAAGACATGCAGCTCATTTTTCTACCAAATAAATATAGACTCCATCAACTATGGACAATATTTTTAATCTATTTGCCTTTTCCTGTTTCAAGCAAGTTCCATTCAAGCAAGTTAATGTGGGGGATTGCATTGCATTTTTGTCTACATAAATGCAATACAAGTGGTGCTTCTTATTTCATACTGTATTTATTTTCTACTATCTATCTCACCCAAATAGACAAAGCCCTTTGGAATATTTTACAAGCATGCTCCTGCTAGTCTTCCTGAATACTAAAACATTTTATCACCATGTATTAAAAATTGTCACTGTCGGCATCTCTAGTGCAGACACAGCCAAACTGATGCCCTCCAGATGTTATGCACATCAACACTCTTCTGATCCAGGGACTTCTGGGGCAGGTATGGCAAGGACTTCCAGGTGAGGCATGGCAAACTGAAGACATCGCTGTGAAAGTGGAGCCGACAACCATGGCAAAGACCAAGGAACTGGTGAATAGACCAATTCCTTGGAATCTCTCTGGATAAGGAGAGGATGGGAGATCACCCACATGTGCTCTGGATGGCTGCTCCTCCTAAGGAGACCACAGAATAGCAGTTTTCTGTGGGTTTGAGTGCTGGGAGACGAAGAGATTAGCTATCTTACTCGCAACTGTGACGGAGCCTTTTGAACTACACTAAATTCATAACCTCAAGTTGTATGAC